CCTGTGGGTGGGAATGTGGGGGGTGGAGGGTAACCCCACTAAGACAGGCCGTTCACTCCCTGCTGGTGCCATTGTATGAGTGTCTTATTATGAGAAAGCTAGTGTTGCCATGGATAATCCAAAGCTCTGCTTGACTTGCTTGTGTGTTCTCTGTATTTACCTCTAAGTGTGTTACTGTGTATCTGAAAACTCACAGTATTTCAGATAAGAAGATGCATTTATGAAGCTGACAGGAAGCACTTTAAGCCTTATTTTTCTAAGGTCTTACTCAACTGTCTCATCATAAATCATTTTTGTGATCTGCAGGTAGCAACAAGCTTTAAATGACTCTTTGATTGACTCTTCAGTGAAGCTTTGATTGACTCTTTGAATGATCGAATGAATGAATGAGCATACTCAGTGCTCAAATTACTGGCTCTCACCTATATCATATATGACTGTTTTAGTTCCTAAGGTTATCATTACAGATTCTAGTCTTAGAGAATTGTAATCTTCCCTGCTCTGAAGAGTTCATATTGATAAAATGCCAGGTTAATTCAAAAGAGGGTCTTAATTCACCTTGCAAACATGAGTCTGTAGATGCATTAAAGTGAGTTGACGTGCAGGCGGATGGGGTGTTCTGTTCCCGAGAGCGGAGCTTGTACTTCCATCCTCTACAAGACATGCAACTTCTCACCGTAATGGCTGTGCTTCTAGGGGACAGTGCTCACCTAAAGTAAGAGAGGATCCCGCCTGAGGAACTCTCACTGAACCAAGGAGACTGTGTTTCTATTTTCTTAGCAATTGTCTATCCTAAGCATATTTGAGCAGATGACATCGTGTTACCAACCATTCCTTGGCATTAGGTTGACTTTTGATAATCACTGATGTCTTCTTAATTGTACTAATAGCTGTTAAATGAGCTTTGCATAGGGCTTAAAGAGTGTTTAGTCAGACACAATGTATTAAGTACCTATGACACTGAAAATAAAGCAGAATCAACTGGTCTTTTACCTCAGCTTAGCCTCAGACTAATAGGGGGAGAAGGCATCACCGTAACTGTACCACAAACGGTGGGTTCTTCAGTGAGGGCCCGGTGGAGGAAGTGGGCAATTTGGGGCAGGCCTAGTCAAAGTCAGCGTCATATATTTAAGAGAATTGGGAAGTTTGTCAGACAAGCCCAGATGGGAAGGATAGGCATTCTGGAGGATGAAACCGCAGGAGACAAGGACCAAAGGCATTGAGTACGAATCAGCTTCGACCAGCCTCGAATTCTAAGAGTAGGATAAGCGTAGAGTAGGATGTTGTAAGCTCTGAGGCCCGTCCTGCCGCCCCCTGGAGTGCTGCAGAGGAAATCAGCTTTTGCTCCATGAGAAACAGCTCCCGTCTGACTTCTGAGTCGCCTAACACAACAGCTGGTATTTGGATACTCTGATTTTAAGATGAACACTCCCTCTGTGCGGGAGTCACCCGGAAAGTCCAGGGCTGTTTAGTTTGTAGGCCTGGGTGCCACCCACCTCCGCTCACTCAATAGGCCCTAGTCCCAGGAAGCAGAGGCACCCTGTGCCCCTTGGTTCACAGACCTGCCTACCCTGCTCCTCCTTCCATCCTCATGACCACAGCCTGGACTCCTATTTGGCAGTCAAAACTCTTTCCATTCCCGGCCTGCTCTTTGGTCTCTTAGTCTTTAAAAAAAAAAAAAAAAAAAGTGTAAACAGCCATCAGCATGGAGAATGTCATATGAGTGGTGAGAGCCATTTCCCATTTGAGAATCTGTCAGAAGGTGGCACCTGGGCTGAGAGTGTGAAAGCTTTGCTTGCCCAAGGGCAAAAGGGAGGAAGCCTGTCCCTGGGAGACGCAGGAGTGGGAGAAATAAAATGGCTCTGTCCTTTCTGGCTGGCACACTCAGAGGGGTGCCACACCCCCAGTCCTCTGCTTTCGAGCAAAGGGACTGTGTCCCCACCCTGCTGGCCTTCACCTGTCCTCACTCCTGGCCAGACAAGGAGTGAGTCGCCTGCTTCTTGGGCAACAGGATCAAGTCAGGGTGTGGGGTCCGGCCTCTCTCTCTTCCTGGACATTCCTATCTGCTGAGGGAGTGGGCCGGGCCTCTCTGCCTGCCCCTGGGAGGCCTGCCCTGCAGGCAGGAAATTGGAAAGCTGGTGTCCAAGCTCTTGTCTCCCAGTGACCCTCAGATGACCTCTGTTCGGTAACGGTGGTGAGATTTCCAACCACTGATTTCTGAACCTGACTTCTCAGTTGGCCGAGATAAGTCTCCGTCAGGAAGTTGGGAACTCTTGCTCGGAAAGGTGCGCTCCAGTCCCAAAGTTATGAGGGTCTGGGGCCCGTGGGGCACCTGAGGCAGCTGGCCAGGGGAGGCTGTGGAGTGAGTATTCTGGAGCCCAGGAGAAGCCTGGGAGGGCAACCGGCAGCCACAGGCCGGAGGAGATGGCCTGCAGTGGTGGGTTGAGCCTTAATGGCTCTTCAAAAAGCAGGTGGCTGGGCCTTAGCTGTGCAGATGCTGAGTCAGTAAGTCTGGGCTGCTGTTTTCTAAAATAAACTCAGATGTGGGGTTGCCCCTCCAATGTGTGATTGCACGATCCCTTTTCCCCTCTGGGGAAGCCTGGTGAGCACAGACCAGCCAGCTCTCACAGGGGCCGTGGGGCGGGGGGCCTCCCGGGGTCTATCAGCAGCTGTCTGGTGTCTAGAAAACTGGAGGCCTTGACAGGAGGGGCTTCCCAGGTGATACAACGGGGTCCCGGACAGAGGGCAACCTTTTTACTCAAAGACAAGCTCATTTCAAGTCATGAGATATCTTAAAGAAATAGACTGCAAATATCTCTGCATTCTTCTAACAATGAATTTTTCCCTGTAGGGTGGTTGGGTTTTGCATTCTAATTAGGTTACATGTCTAGTACTTTTAAATTGGTGGTGGCCTCCCATATGCAAAGGGGCAGGGGCTTACTTACTTACGTGGAAAAAAGCATCACTGGAAATGCTAGATGAACTTCAGTCCATCTCAGAGCAAGTGAATCCCTTGGCTTAACTGAATGAGTTTCATTGGCTTTTGATTCTTGATTGAAGCATAAAGGTGGGATAACACTTGCACCCCCTTTAAGGTGTTGGGTGACTGGGTAAATGACTTGAATCCTTGTGACTTGCTCAGTTTCCTCATCTGTGAAAATGGGGATGACACAACCCAGATTGTAGGATCTTTGTATAGATCAGGTGTGCTAATGCTGGCGAAGCCTGTGTCGCCAAGCATCAGTAAATACCAGCCTAGGGCCTCCCTGGTGGTGCAGGGGTTTAAGTCTCAGTGCAATCAAATTATCACCAGCCACTGCAACATGAGTTTGAGCTTAGCGAGGGAGTTCAATCCCCACAGGGTGCAGCCGACCTCTCCTGTCTCCCCGCTGCTCCTTCAGAGCAGTGGATTTCAGTGGACCTGACCTGCCCCATGCTGTCGCTGGTGAATCCTCTCACCTTCCCCCCACCCTGCACCTCTGGCCTATCCCCCAACTCTTGTATGTATAAATAAAAATAATTTAAAAAATAAGTATCAGCCTATTCAACTTCAGAATAAGAGCCGATCAGTATGACCACTGGCAGACAGCACCTGCTTCTACTTGGTGCTTCTAACTCAGGAACGCTGTGGAGTGACCTAAACCTAATATCTCTTACTCAGGCCTCTGAGAACAAGGGAATTTTCTCAGCTGGGAAACAGACCACTTTCATGATGAACCGCATTCCTTGGCAATTTGAAAGATTAGCTTCAAAGATTGCTTTGAAAGTTTACCTCCCAAGAGCTTAATTGAGGTGGGGTTGGGCCTGGCTGGACAGAACATAGTTCAGCTTGGAAGTGTCTGCCTTGATCTGGCGGGGAGAGGGAGGAAATAGGTAAGGAAGCTTGTAAGCATAGGTATTCAACAGTGCTGGGGGTTATAGTTATTCTGGGGAATCAGTTACTCATCCATCAATGCAATGTGTGTCTACTTTGTGCTACTTACTGAGAATACTAAGAAAAGTCAGTTCCTTGGCTCCTGCAATTTAGTGGAAAGACAGGCATGCTAAGTACAACTTAAGTGGTAAGTTTCATGATTTGGGGTCTGTATGAAGCCCTGTGGGGAAGCGTGGGAAGGGGGCACCCTCCGATTGCCTATCACTCTAGAACTTCCCACTTTGCTGATGGGCTTATTTGCTGTAGGAGGCCATCCAAAATGGCGCTTGGTGAGGAGGAGGAGAAGCAGCTTGTGGGGCCAGGTGGTGAGCTCAGGTTTTGTAATATTGTTTGAAGTGCTTGTGCAACATCCGAACCACGGTGTCCTGAGACAGTGGAAATAGTGGGTCTAGATCCAAGAAGCGAAGGCAAGGGCGAAGCCTGGTCCCAGGGGTCAAGTGCACGCCAGTGGCAGTTGCTGGGCATGGATGATACTACCTTGGGCTGACACTGGGCTTATATCCAGTAAATCCATTGTAAGTTGAAAATATGGTAATCAAAAACGCACTAACCTACCAAACATTAGAATTCAGCTGAGTCTACCTGAAATCTGCCCGGCCATTAGATGGCTCTTCCGTTAGCCACCAGAGGAGCAAAATCGTCCAGTGCAAGCCTATTTATCACGGGCTGAATGGATCACATCACTTGTTGTGTGAGAGGACAGTGTATTTGACGTGACCCTCGTGATCTTACGACCAACAGGGCAGGCTCACTACCCAGCATCATGAGGGTGCTGTAGATATTTCGCCAGCCCAGAAGAGATCGAAATATAAAACTGAAGTGAGGTTTCCACTGAGTGTTTTCACATTGCCATAAGAGTCAAATGATACTAAGTTGAGCTTTCGTAAATCTGGGGCTGCGTTGGTGTAGAGGAGCGATTCTGCAAAATGCTAATATTTAAAGAGCACGTGGCAGAAGAAGAAGAGAGAGACTAGAAATGAAAACAGACAGGACAGGAGCCGAGAGAAGGGGCAGGATCAGAAAAATCAAGAGAGGATTTTCAAGATTCGTCTCAACGTTTCAAAAGAATGAATTTAATGGTAGAGTTAGTTGACTACTATCCCATGAAGGATGGTCTTATTTTCAAAGAATGTGTCGTGTCTCACCACGTGTTAAAGGACTGACAAAATAAATTAATGCAACTTAATCTAAGACTACTGAGCACAATATAACTTTAGCTAGTTCCCCAGGCTCTCTGGGATTTTTTTTCAGTGCCTCAAGGCATCATTATAAATTTTGCTGTCCTGGTTAGCTGTGGGGGTGGTGGTAAGGGGAGAGTTACTTGACTTCTGGATAAATGAGCCTTTCTTCCACATAGGAAAGGTCACTGGCAGTGACAGGGAAGGGGTGTCCAGGCCCCAGCTCAGATGAAGATGCTCCCTAATCAGATGAGTGAACACATCAGAAAAAAGCTAAAAATCTTCCCTCATTCTGGCTCCCCGCTCCTCTGTGTGTGTGTGCAAGACTTGTCACTTAGAGGGAAGTTCAGAGAGCAAATCAGCTCCGCATCCCACTATCCTGATACATCAGACACCATAGTGACATCAACATTTGTGTGTTTCAGGGCTGCTCAGTGGCCATCCAGAGGTGGGCTCTAAGCTCATCATGATCTAAACTGTACTTGAAATAATCAACTTAGTAACCGAGTCAAAAAGAGCAGATTGATACACTGACTGCCTCCCGTTGGCTGGCAGAGGGACCCTAACCAATGTTGTGGGCGTGGGAGTGACGTGGATTCATTGTGTGACTTTCTTGGGTTCTGCGCAGAAGCTCACTGCATGCCCAGGAGCTGGCACACTGCCATGGTCAAAGACAACAAAAAGGCTTGAGTAGAGGTGTCAGGGGGCTGCCCTCCAGGCTGGGAGCTCCACGGCACCGCCATGCCCAGACTGGTGGTCTGGCAAAGAACAAAAAGCCTTTTGACAATCAAGACAGTCAAAATGGGAAGAATTCCCCACTGTCTTGCTGAGTGGGACTCGTGGGTTAGAAAGGCATTTGCTGATTGCATAGCTTCTGATGAGAAGGGGTGGGAAGAGAGATCGTGGGCACAGGAAAGGATGTGACGGGACATGGGTGAGGACTCCTTGCAGACACCCTGTCCTGTCTGGCCGGTAGTGGTAGCTGTGACTTTGTTTCCATCAAAACCACTTGGAGCTGGGACTAGTCATCATCGTCGTCATCATTGTCATCATCGTCGTCTTCATCGTCATCATCGTCATCATCATTATCCTCTTCTTCAGAATTATTATTGTCGTCATCATTGTCATCCTCTTCATCACCATCTTCATTGTCATCATCTTCAGTGTTTATCTTTCCAGAAAGCACGTCCTCAATCCAATCCTCCAACTCCTCCGCTGTGGGCAGGTCATCATCATCTGCGATCTCCATCCAGACACTGTCAGCCTGCGGTGGGTGAGGGGTAGAGCACAGGAGTGAGGGAGTAAATAAGTGAGTGAGTGCGTGAGGGAGGGAGTGAAGGAGGACTTGAGGGAGTGTGTGAGGGAGGGAGGGAGTGAGGGAGGGATGGAGGAGGGAAGGAGGAGGGAGGGAGGGAGGGAGAGAAGGAGTGAGTGGAAGAGGGAGTGAGTAAGGGAAGGAGTAACTGAGGGAGGGAGGGAGGGAGGGAAGGAAGGAGGGAGGGAGTGGGGAGTGCATGAAGGAAGAGCCAGACCAGGACCAGAGGGTGCTGAGTAGCTGGATGAGCTCCCGGGTCCCTTCCAGTTATCAAAATGTCTGCTCATTATTAAATGCAAACACACATTGCAAGAAGACCTGGCAATACCCTGTAGGCACGCTAAGAAGGAACTGTCTTCGTGCATATACATGAACATATAAGAGCTGTCTGGGACAGCCACAGAACTGTCCCCTGCCATTCCTTCTGGGGATGGGACTAAGGACGGAGTCAGGGTAGTAGAAAGTACTTTTGCTTTTTACCTCATATCTTACTGTTCTGCTTTGAGCTGTTTCAGTTTTCACTGAACAAGCAGCTTACAGACTGAGTAAGTGCATGCTTTCCAGGTGAGAGCAGGCCTGCAGCAGAGCAAAGGCCCCTCCCGCCAGAGCGTCACTGATCACTCCGGAGCCAGCCCCTCTGTGACCATCCCCTCCTGTCCATTCTACTCGTTGCGTCCATCCTGCTTCTGTTTTACTAAGGTGGAGTCGCACCGATGTCCGGACCGAGATTAAATACTCCTGAGACTTCCCAGGTCGGGGCGTCTGCCGGGGAGGAGAGTCCTCCCCTTGCGCCCGCCTTCCTCCCCTCCCTTGAGAGGTGGGCTGCATCCTGGCAGGTAACCCCCTGGCCTCTGAGCCCCCCCCACCGCAATGGCTGTTCCGGCCAGCATTCCCTTTGTAAAGGGACTTCGTTGTTGGTTTTTGGGAGAAACACACAGAGGAATTCATCTGGGGGGCAAATTGCAGGGAGAGAAGGTGCCCTTGGAGGAGAGGTGGCCCGGAGGCCAGCAGGACAGGGACGTGCTGGGCCTCCACGGCCAGTCTCCTGTGTGGGCAAAGTCACGGTCCTGCTCTTTCTCTGCATGGCCCAGCTCTCACAGTCAAGGCTGCGCGCAGGGGGCGGGGCAGGCTGGGGGTGCCTGAGCCAGCTTTTGGGGGTACTCACATCTGTCACGTTCACCACCCCGATCTGTGGCTTGAAGAGGTCAATCTTGAAAGTCTTTTCCCAGTAGGCAATGAGCTGCAGTCACAGAAAGTCAGGTGAGACACAGGCAGAGGGCAGCCCTGCTCACGCCGTGACCCACCCCCGCCCGGCCAGAGTCGCTCAGTCGCCGTTGGCCAAGCGTCTACAAGACAGTTGTGGGCACCGAGGAACTGGGCCCCGGCCCACGAGCACTTTAACTGAGTATGAAAGAAAAAAAAGACACCAGAGCATAAACTGTGAAAACAGGTAAAATCCTCTAGTCCGGCAATGGAGAATATTCCAGGGAGGGTCCAAGGTTGATTTCCATGTTTCTTGTGGCCCTTCAATAGTTGATGCAGTGACAGGGCCACCTCTCCCTCAGTGACCCGCTTCAAACCCTCATCTTGAGTCCTGCTGCTACAGGATGTGTCAAGGAAAACGGGGTGTGCCAGTGACAGGAAGTCTCCCAAGCACAAGTAAGGTCTACGGCGGCTGGGGAGAGTCAGAATAGTCTGCAGACGTCTCCTTGGTGAAAGCAAGCAGAGCAGAGCAAATGTACAGAAGAGGCCAGGGCCTGCGGACTACGGAGCTCAGGTAACTGGAAACAGAATGAGAAAGAATCTGGAGAAGCAACGTTGTGTTGGGTGGGGTCACATCAGCCGAGACTGTTAGGGTTCCTGAGGAACCCTAAAAGAGCCTGGGGAGAGGCTGCCATTGAGTCACTCATCTTCCACATGGGACGGGATTTCAGGATTGCAAGGCTACTCGGTTTTGGTAGCTGTGACCTATCAGCTAACAGAAACTCCTGGAAGAAGACCGAGTTATCCTCTCTAACCAAACGCTCACTGCATTTGTGTGGCTCACTCACACCTAACATCTGCTGACTCCTCAGCCGAGCTTTGGGGCCACGCAGACCTGTTGTTATAGGGTAGCTCGAACTTCTCCAGTGTCGCCTTTCCCTCTGCAAGGTCTGGGTTATGATGGTGTCTGCTTCCGGGGCGGGCAGAGCGCATTCGACGAGACGTACATGTAAAGTTTTAGCCCAGTTCTAGGCTTGCTGGAGAGGCACAGACTCGATTTATTTTCTCTAAACTGAGCCCATCAGGACTTCGTGGCCATGGAGAGTTGACATGAGCCAGAGTTTGGACACTGATATTCTTGCCTATTTCATGTGCTACACACAGCATTGATCCCCAGGGAACAGAACGGGCAGAGACACGGTCTCTGCCCTCCAGCAGCAGCTGTTCTCAACTTATGCAAAATGCCCAGAGCTGCGTTGCTTAGTCACTCACGTTGCCTTGAATGACATTCCCAACTCTGATAATGAAAGGTTAGGCCAAGGTCCCCCACACTGGATGGGTTCCTGCAAGGGCCCCTCCTAACTCACACCCTCCTTCATATTCCTGGGGCGACCAAGGCCCCAAGTGAGCTGCTCACCAGAGGAAAGTCGTCTGGGTCGATCCACACGATGCTCAGGTCGGGGTTGTCCGTGTTGTCCCGGGCCACCTGTTTCAGGATCTCCAGGAACTCGAAGCCATCTGCAGTGGGATTGGGATGAGTAAGCTGACGTTCATGCCTCCCAGCTCAGTGCGCAGGGGCTGTGGTTTTTCCACGAGCTGCTTAGGCTGCTTGGTGCATACCCTCAATTATAGGATTACTCTATAAAGTGAGTCAGATGAGAACTCCAGCCACAAAGCAGCTTATTCAAAGGAAACAATAAAGATTTTGAATAAAGAAATTAAAAGTTCACAGGGAAGTGGCCTGCTCTTACTCCCAGCCAAGCTGCATCTGCTGATCTGCATGTGAAAACAGAGCAACCTTGACTCAGAAAATGCAGCCCCAGAGCCAGAACCAGAACCAGAACCGAACCAGCATTTCGACTCCCTGGTCTCTGGCACTCCGCGCCACTCCTCGAAACCCAGGTCTTTCTAGCTCTTGGATTGGCCCATCACGTAAACACCAGCACCAAGAGAACGTTCAGTTTCTTTAATTTGAAAGTCCCCGAACCTCAAACGAAGTGAACTTGTGATTTAACAGTTGCTTTCCTGCACTGAGGCGGTGAGTGGGGTCTCCCCACCTCGCCACCATTTCTGTGTCTGCTCTGCTCTCCCCTATTCAGTCAGCAGCCTTCCTGGCCCCCAGGGGAGAGATGATTCATTGGAAAAGCAGAGACAAGCCTTGTGAGTTTTTCAAGAACATTTTTTTTTAAAGCCTAAACCTTGAACAATTGGGAGTATTAAATATCATAAAATAATGTTGCAAGAATGTTTAGTAAGAGCGTACCATAAGCCCTCAGCATCCCACCCCACTCCCAGTTAGAAACTAAGAGCTGAGATCCTGGAAAGTCCTTGAGCCGGGAGACCAGCAAGACAGGGAGCCCCTAGGGATGGTGGGGGATGAGAGGGCCATTAGTCGTCAGTCCCAGTTTCCACCAGCCGGCGGTCAACTCTAGTGTTAGTTCTAGAAGGTGACTCTACAAGCAGCCGACCAGCTGTTTGTGAATTCAGTATGGCCTTTGACTTTTGTTTGTAAAGGTCTTCTTCTTCGGGGGTGCCAGTCAATATGAGCTCCTCTCCCTGGCCTCCTCTCTCTCCAGGGATGCCAGTCTCTCACTACTGTGGCTTCTTGCTCAAAGCTTTCCTCGGCTCTTCCTCAGCTCTGATATATTCCAGGCAAAATGCAAGCCGTTCTTAGCAGTTTTGCCTGGAGTGGGTGGAGTCACTTGAAACATTAACTCCTTCTGCAAACTCACGCCCATGCCTTTTGTCACTGGACAAAAGGGGCCCTCTCTGATGGAGGTGGCGGGGTCTTTGTGCTCTGCGGCCCCTTCCTGCAGGAATGCCCATCCGTCTGGGAGATTGTTCTAGGCCGTGAATGATACCACAAATTAGACACCTGAGATGGATCAGAACCTGTGTGCAGAGTTCTTGTCTTTGTGGAGGTTGGGTGGAGGTGGGGTTGGAGACTTACTCCTGCTGTCCATGAGGTGCCCTGAGGTCAAGTCCCTCCAGAGAAACAGTGGAGGCTGCACTCTGGACACTCGATCATTGTCCTCTGGGTGTGTCTCATTGTCCTCTGGGTGTGTGGTGGTTCTCTGTGCATTTACGTATAAATGCCCCAGGGGCAATTCTTCCCAAGCACCTTCAGTAACTACTTTGCGCAGCAGAGAAGAAAGGAGCCAGGACAAATGGGGTGACATTGTCAGTACTCCAAGAATCAAATTTCAAGATGGTCTTCACAAAGAGCAATTCACAAAGAGCATGGGATTCAACCCAGGCTCCAGTTCAATCAGACAGCAAACCTGAGGCGCTAAGGCGATTCTCACCGAGGCAGAGGGGCTGTAAGCATGCAGGCGGCGGAAGGATAAGACTTTTGTCCTCAGAACCAAAGGGAACAGGTAGCTCTGTTGTCCTCTGCTGACAAAACCCATAAAGCTGGGATTTACGAAGCTGAAAGCTACTCACAGAACCTTCTGTATTTTACATTCCAGAGCAGGTTTGGAAATAGAAAAAGACTGAACTCTGCCAGAAAAAGCCAGGGGATTGGAGTTTTATATAAATAAGAGAAGTCAAAACTAGGGCCTCTTGCCTGTCTTTGAGAACAGGAATGTTTTTCGTGTCTACGGAGGAGCAAGGAAAGATCACAAAACACACAGAGAATAAGTGAAGGGCCCGGATGGATGTAGAGGCCAGAGAGGTCCCTCTGGGTCTATGGGCTGCTTTGTGGCACCATCCGCAGCATCTTGCATCCTTCCGGGGCAGACAGCGCTGCTTTGGGGCAAAGTCCAGGCCACTGCTTGAACATGGACACGGGACAAAGGACCTTGTCCACATCGTGGTTCTGAAATTTAGTTATTTAATGTCTTGTTATTTAGGGCAAGGTGTTTAGTGGCCTGCCCGCTGCAGAATGGGGTGATGATACTCAAAGTTCCTGCATCATTAAGTGGGTTGGGAGTTACATGAGTTAGAATCACTAAGGTGCTGAGATCCCTGGTACCTCATAAGGCTTGTCATGATTCTTCCCAGTGACCTGACAGTCTCTGAGTGTGGGAACCTTCTGCCCAGCCAACCCTGCATCAGCACAAGGGCAGTCTGCACACAGCATGGTAAAGCAGAGTTGCTCGCCATTGTAGAGATTGCCCTGGGAGACCACTCCTGGGCCCTGTGGGCGACCCTGACTGAAGGGTTCCAGGTGGCTGTGCCAGCAGGTGTGGTCTCCAGATCCTCACCTTGATGTGAAGGTTCACCTACTTTGACTTCAAGTCATTAAGTTGATTTGAATATTCCTGAATATTCCGTTCTTGCTCTGTGACTCCCAGCCTTCAATGCTGGAGAAGTTCACATTCCTCTGGGAAAACACTGATCAGCCCAACTGCTGATCAGTGTATTAAGTTGCTAAAATTTTAAGTGACAGTTCAATTTCCTTGTAGGGGTAGTTTCTGTTTCTCTGGAAAAGTGGCCGGTGTCTTGGGAAGGGGTGGAGTCTGCTGGAAAGTCCTGTCTACAGTGAGGCCGGTACAGGCAGCCACAGTTCACGTTTGTTATTCGAGGTTGATCACAGGGCTAAGCTATAGCTGGAATTGCATCGATGCATGAATGGGCCCTCCCTTACAGCGACGCCCTGAGTTATAGGTCTTTTAAGACTTTCGGCTGTGTATTTTCAGAAAGGATAGTACTTAAAAAAAAATAATAATAAAGGTAAGTAAAGGCAATGGAGGAAATATTCAGAGAGCTGTAGGCTGGAAGCTAATTAGCCACAGAAACTAGAGGATTATTCTCTGCTGTTACTAGCTAGAGAAGCCCCTGTTTCCAAAGCCAGCAGCCACTTCCAAATATCCAGGCAGGTGATTCGCCCCAACCAGATTATTTATCTGTGTTTTCTCCTGTTTCCAGAGTGGAAATACCTGACCCTGCCAAAGCTTTACTACAGTTGACAGCTGAAAGCTGGGAGTGTTCTTGCACCCAGCCCTGCACATGGCTCCTCTCTGTGGACAAGGCCTCGTCTCTGCTCCCAGAGTCCAATCACAGTGCCCGAGTGTCAGCTCATGAGTATTTATTGAGCGCTTACTGGGTACCAGGGACTTTGCATTTCAGGTCCTCCTGGTGGCACTTAGGAAGATTTCACTGTTCCTGTTTTAAAGAGGATAGAGCTGAGACAGAGGGAAAGTCTGAGACTCCAGCGCCAGCTGCCCGCGTCTGGCAGGATTCTGACTAGTGTCCTGAGACTGCCCGGGCCATTTCCACTACCCATTTCCCTCTGAAGTCCATTAGGTTTGTGTGTGGGATTCCCGAGCGGGGGGTGAGACCCTCCATTTGGGGGACACGGAGCGGGCTGAGGCAGCCGCACCGCGGCCTGGCGCATCCCTGCCCTCTACAACCTGCTGCCAGGCCACCTCCTCCACAGCCACAGTGTGCTCGGCTGGTTCACCCGCGATGTCCTGGAGGCAGGCCAGGGTTTCGGGGTGGCCCTAAATAAAGAGGGGCCTGGTGCTGTGAGAACTGCGGCTCCTTCCCGCCACACAAACTCAAGCTGGAGCCCAAGACCCAGGGGCCAAGGGTTCACGTGGAGCCAGGTTCCCACGCACGCGGGAGGCTTCTGGGAATCGAATCTTTGTGGGAGGGGAAACGGGTGATTATGCTGTCCTCCTTTCCAGGCAGGAGGGGTGGCTGGGACGCCTGCCCAAGCCCTGGGGGCCCACCGAAGGCAGCAGGAGCCTAGGCCTCTTGGGCAGAGGCGGGAGGGTCTCAAACTGGCCATGGCCCGGGGACTTGCTGTCCTCCCAACTGCACCCCCTGACCCCAGGGCCCTCAACCCAGGGGGCACTGAAGGACCCCCTGATGCCTTGCCACATGACATTATGGGATCCAGGCCTCGTCCTGGAGAGAGATCTCGGTGTGGGGAATGGGCTGTAGTGTGGGGGGCCCCCTCCCCGAGAGCTCCAGTCTGGGCATGAAGACCTTGCCTGGCCACGTCACCTCTCTGGGACTTCCCTTTCTCCTCCAAAATGGAGAACAGGTGCCTCAGGCCTCAGGGTCTCCACGATGATGGCTCTAGTTCTGCTGTCGCCATGGAGGCATTTGCAGAAGGGGCTGTCACGATGTCCTCTATCTTTTTTCCTTTTCTTCATTTTAAGTTTTTCAGTACTTTCATCCTTCCGTGCTGGCGAAGGTTCATCCGGTCATCAGGAAGGTATCTTCTGAGTGCCCACAATGCCCCGGGCCCAGGTGTACAGAGTACGGTCTGCCCCAGGTCCTGTCTCCCCCGGACCTCGTCAGCCTTGGCCAGAGTCCACCGGACACGTGGACTCCTCTGGGCCCCTCGGGGAGCATCCATCCCAGCAGAGCTGCCTGGTCACCTGTTAGGACAGGGGACGTCGCGCCCACCCTCCCTGCTCATTCTCCTTCCTGCTCTCTCTTCTAACCCAAAGGACCCAGAAACGGTGACTAAGTCCGGGATGTGGTTTCGTGACAGGAGCAGCAGCATGGGGTGGCTGAAGCCCAGTCTACCCCTGACTGGCCCCCTGACCTGGGGACCTGAGGGAAGTTCTCTCCCTTTGTCTCCTTGTCTGTCCATCAGGGCGATGATAACTGCAGTGACCCTCAGTGTTGTTATCAGGTTTAAATGTGTTGCTGTCTGCGAAGCGCCTGGCGTCATACTGGGCACTCAGTAAGAAGCAAATATTCAATTTGCTACGCCAGGTTTAAGTCAGGAAGCTGACCTGTGCGGTTAGGGTTCCTCCTTGTGGCCGTGGTCCTCAGAAAGCATTGGCCGGGGCCCTGTTGGGGGGGCTCCACGTCTGCCGGGCGCCCTGGCCGGCTGTCCTCCGCAGCCTGTCCCTGCATTTGGGCTCCTTAGCGCTGATACCCCGGGCCCGTGCAGGGACCGTCCAGCACGCTCATGTAGAAGCGCCACGTTGCGAACCTTTCATCAGAAGTTCTGAAGATGTCAGTGATGCAGGCAGAAGGGGCCGGCAGGGGACAGTGGTTCATTTCCAAACCTGCCCAACGGTGGCACTCTGTGCAGGGCCAGCAGGGGGCACTGGCAGCAGCAGGAGAGGCCGACCACTGCCGCCAGGGCCAGGAGCCTGCCCACAGCCCTCTGCCTCTCCAAGGCAGGAGCTGCGCTGGGAATGTTGGAACTGCTGGGAGGGCCCTTGGGGAACCCAGGCCAGGCCGCTCACTTCTTGTGACATAATCTCAAATTCTAACAGTGGGCATCAGTGGGCCGTGGGGAGGACATTTGCCTTTTTGCATTTGTTGGATTCCCAAGTGTCCCTCTCTCTCCCTTCCCTTTCCCCTTCCCCTGCTCACTCTGCTCTGCTCTGTCCCACCAGGACGCTGCAGCGGCCGCATGCCCAGAGCGAGGCTGGCTGGGCAGCCTGGCAGCTGGCCCAGAGGGGTGGACGGTCCCCACAGGAGCCATCCAGAGGTCTAGACTTCTGTCCCCTTCACTGTGGGCTGGCAAGTCCATCAGTGAACTCTCTGGGTCTTTCCAGTGTTGGGCGTGGAGGAGAAGGTGAAGAAAAGCAGAGAGAAAGGTGGGGGTGGGGTGGGGTGGGAGGAGCAGGTCATTAGGGGTGGGCAGCACGCTGCTGGTCCCTGCTCTCCTGGGAGGGACTGCTGGCCAGAGTGCCTCAGCCTGATGGGCTCCTGCTTCCGGGCCAGCCAGCCTCTCCGCCTCGGCCCCCCGCTGTAAAGCGAGGCCTCACGACTCCCCCAGGGACGGCTGTGGCCCAAGCATATGCTGAATTACCGTGTTCCCTGCACACATGGCAAGGAGAGAGCCGGAAAGCCTGCTAGAGTTTCCATCTCGACTTCGCTAACGCGAGTGATTTGGGCAAGTTGTTTAATCTCCAAAGTTCGCTTTTCTCCTCCATGTTGGGATATCGGTCGTAGGTCTCACGATGGCTTCAGGGGCTGAGTCAGGCCATCCTCTTGGGGCCCAGCACAGAGTCTCAGTGACAACAAATAACCTTTGTTATTTTCCTGGATGTGGGCCTGCTTGCTTTGGTGAGGGGTCTGGGTCCATAAAGAACTCGAAGCCAGGGCAAAGGTAGGTGAGGAACCACCGTCTAGACAGGAATGGAATTTCCCGTCCTGCAGCTGGGCCTCTAGGCCCAGGTCACACATCAGTGACCTGCGGTAATGACTGACTAGAGCGAGGGGCTTTCACAGAAAGACTTCTCCTACCGACCCTGAGGGGGCAGGTCCTCCCTGGTGAAAAAAAGGTGCTTCCTGCTTCCCTCCACCTCCCACAGCTCAGTGCATTTCTTCCAGCTTCCCAGGAACAAGCCTCAGCTTGGGCTCCTTTGGGGAAAGGCAGGCTCTGGGCCCAGGGATATTTGTGCAGGGAGGAGGTGGAAGTAGTTTCAGGAGCTTGATTCATTACAGCAGCAATCTCGGTCAAACAGGTTCCTGCAACTTCTCGAGGCCTCTTTGTTCCATTGTTCCTGAGAGAACCAGACAGGCCTCCCTGCAATCCTGGGAGGGGGCAGGTGGGCGGGGGAGTGAAGCCCCCTGGAGTCTGGCCAGCAGGCAGCTACTGAAGGCAATTTCACCTCTGTCCACACAACCCCAGAGACCCCATGGAGCCCCTTCTATTTGATTATGGCTTGTAAACTTTGAGCAACTGGCTTCCTTTGCTTTATTCGCCCCCAGGGGTCGAGGGATGGACAGAACCTAAGGAAAGAGCTGGAACCACACTGGCATTTTATTTTATTTTTTGGACAAGAGCTAAGTATCCTTGAAGAGTTTTTCCAGCTCTGCAAGTTAATGATGGGAAAACTAAAACATTAACGGGCATTCAGGAATTTTTTTTTTTTTTTAAAGAGGAGGAAGGAAGCTCTCAGATAATTTAGAGCATATATTTGGTTTTAACGCGATGGAATATTATTTGGCCCTGAAAAAGGAATGAAGGCCTGATACATGCTACGTCAAAAATGAAACATAATGATAAGTGAGAGACTCAAGGTACAAAAGTCCACATTAGTACACAATGCCTTTTCTATAAAAAAAAAATCCAGAACAGGCAAATTGGTAGAGCCAGAAAGTGGATCAGCGGTTGCCAAAGGTGGGGCGGGGGAGTGACCGCTAACAGGTATGGGGTTTCCTTGTGAGGTAATGAAGTCATGCTGGGATTAGATAGTAGTGATGCTTGCACAACATTGTGAATTTGCTATGAACTGCTAAACTATACACTTTAAAAAGATGAGTATATGGTTTGTGGATTATATCTTAATTAAAAGATTGCATGATAAAACAATGTGGTTGCACTCTCTAAGAAATTACGGAGGCTGATAATAATCCATAAAAAAAAAAAAACCAACAGAGACAAACCCACAACAACAGGTCTGACACTGGCGAGCTGGGGTTTGACCTTGGTCAGTCACCTGCCTGCCAGTTATTTACTGTGTCAGGCACAATGCAAGAGTCAGATACATATCAGTGAACAAGACAACCTGTTCCTATTCTGTGACCTGCCACTAACTTCTCCCTGCATACCTGTCCCTGCGGTACCTGGGCGATTGTGAGCCCGGGTAGATACCGCCTTCCTTCACGTCACCTGGAAGAGTGGTTCCCAAGCCTGGTGGAAATCAGAACTCACCTCAGAGTTCTGTGACAGGAGGCTTCCTGCAGGTTCTGCTTCAGTGGCTGCGGGTGGCTTGGGCAAGTTCAGTGCCCTGCGCTGTTAGGGTAGAGAAGCCCTGTGCAGACACCTATCCAGCCAAGGCCTGGCTGCTTAGCTATCCTCAAAGAAGCCTCCTGCCTTCTCTGATTACATTCTGGATTGTTCCATGACACACTTTCGGAAGTTCCAAAACACACTTCAGGATCACCCTTACGCTTTCATTCCGAGACTCTTTTCTCTCACAGAGAGTTGCCCAAGGGATCCAGCATTACACCATCTGCAAAATTAATTTTTCTGCATTTTGCTCTCCAGGGACATTAAAAAGAGTGAAACCAGAAAAGGTCGTGCAAGTTCAAAAATAAAACAAAGTGAATCTGTGATATGTCGGGTCACTTTAGAATAAGCTGCTTATTTTATCCAACTCTCATTATTGGGGAAATAGTCTCTATTACTTTCCCTGCACAGACAATAGTTCACAGGCCGACAGGTACACTTACTGTTATTTCAAGGCAGTCATTTATGTAAGTCAGATCCCAAAATTGGTAAATAAACTTCTAATGTGAACAGACATTCACACACAGCGCGCACACACCTGTGAGCTAGGATGTCTGAATACTCTCTCCACCCTCAGCTTTTCTCCCTACTCTGGGCGGCTAAGCAGTATATTTGAGGCCCTGGGCGCCCCCCCCACACACACACCCCCGCCCCCCTTCTCCTGGCCCAATGGACGTGCAGGCTGACCTAACAGGTGCCCACCAGGGGGCGCCCGCCAGCGCCCGGCTCCCTTGTCGGGAAGGGAAAAAGCAAGGGCTTCAAGTGCCAGAGCAGAGGGGGGGTTCCTACCTGGGTCACTCCTTTCTGCGAAAGCCACAATGTGGATCCCGTTCAAATCATCTTCCTGGGGGAGAAACGAATCAAAGGTTACGTTTGGAGAGCGGCAGTGGGGAGGAGAGTCGGGGACTGACTGGCCTAGCCTGGAAACGGAAGGGAGGGAGCAGAGGCCAGTTGCCAGTTGCCGGACCCAGGGGAGCAGGGCAGCGCCCCAGGAGGGGCTGAGGAGGGGCTGCTGCTGGGCGGCTGGGGAGAGCGGCCTGAGGAAGGGGCTGACTGGTGGGGTGGGGGGGAGACCAGCTCCATGCAGGACACAGGCTCTGAGTGGGTCTCACGCCCGGGCCTGGCAGGTCCAGGAGAGCAGCAGTGGACGCAAAACAAGGAAGGAAGTGAGCTGGCTTGTCAGGGGGGTTGAATGCAGCAACGGGGATGGGGGTGTCAGCCTGCTTCAGGAATTTCCCACCAGCAGGGCCTCCCTGATGGCACCAGGGTTAAGTCCCAGCACTGTGAGGCTGCAGCACGAGTTCAATCCCTGGCCAGGGAGGGACCCACAGGGCGCAGCAGACCCCTCCTGTCTCCCCGCTGCTCCCCTCAGCAGTGGATTTCAATAGATCCGCCTCTGGGGAATCCGCTCACTTGTTTCACCTCTGGTCTGCACCCCCGTTCTTGTGCACATAAATAAATAAAATAAATCTTTAAAAATAAAAATAAAAAGACTTTCCCACCAGCAAATACATAATACATCCAGCAATGCACCAAGTTAGGAAACTGCTGTCCCCAGCTAGGACCCACGCACAGAGGCAGTGCTTTTCCCCAACACTGCTCTTACTGCAGAAGCTGAACCTGTGTCATAGGCAGGATGTCATGCTGCCTGTGACCTTGGGGTCCCTTCTATTCTGGACCCAAAGCTTGCTGAAGCAGCCTGCATCTCAAAAACATGTCCGATGTGGGAGGTTCCAGGAAGTGGGGTTCGGGGTTCTGAAGGTTGAGGACAATAAAAATGAAGGGTGGCTGTGGAGGGGGCAACGCCAAGCATCTGGAGGGAGGGGTAGTGTCTTAAATCTGTGGGGTGTGTTGGTGGCCCCCCTCTGTCCCGGACAGAAAAGACCATCTGCCACGTGTCTCCTCTGGTCTGATTATTCCTGTGGAGGGTGGACGTGAGCATGGGGGGTCTGTAGTTGAAGAAATGTGGCTCTTGCGATACTTGGGAAGGGAGACGTGTGAGGGCAAGAACCTGGGGACAAACTGAGTGAATACTGATGATCGCTTATGTGGGGACAGGATGTCATCGACCTCGTGCCCCCCAATGTCATAGCAGACTCATTCTATGGGGAAAACAAAACCAAACCAAAAACCCCCCAGCCATCTCAGCTCTCCCACGATCCCTGTTTCCATTTCAATTGATTTTAATGCTGTGCAATCCTATCTAAATGCTAATTTTTCCCCTTTGAGTTTAGAATGGCCGAACCTCCAAAAATTCTAACAGAGATTAAATGGAAAATATTATTATTAAAAACAAGAGAATGGACACTTTCTTGGTCAAATTCCCTGGGGAATTGAATTTCGCAGCTGTGTGTGTGTGCGCGTGTGCAGTTTTATTACATAAACCCGACAGCAGCCAGAAGGGGAGTCTGAGCTTTCACAGTTTTACATTTGCTATTATCGCCAAGCAGAATTTCCTGATCAGTTCTCATTAGGTGGCCCTGTGTCTCGCCTCCTGCTTTCGGTGGGCAGAGCGCGGTGTTAACTCTGTGAAACAGGCTGCATTTCTGTGTGCCCTTCTAGAACACACTTGGAAATTGGTTTTAGAATTAAGAATCCATATTCATTTTCTACGAGGCTGCTCATCACGTGCTGTCACTCCCTGGACTGAAATGGCCTTGGAGGAGCAGTTGTAACCGAGAGAGAGAGAAAGCGTCTCTCTTTGGGGAGGGGGGTGGATTCTCAAAGATTCAGCACACAAGCCTGGACTGGATACCCACAAAGAAGCAGCCCCAGGCTCCTTCCTGACGGATGTCAAACAAACATGCCCCTTGGCCAGGCTGGAAGCTGTGGGCGACAAGCCGGCAGGCTGAGGCCACCTGGGGCGTTCCCGGGCCCTTTGGTTTAGCTCGAATGGCCTGGAGATTGGTCTTTTAATTGCGCAGACTTCTCAACCAGATGCCATGCTCTCAAGGGGAAGGGATTATGCCTTTAAATAACAGCGACGGGCTCCTGGGTTAGCACAGTATAGTGGGTTCTGATGAATACCTAGGGTCTTAAGAGGAAGAGTGTGACGGTAAACTCTTACATACTCATTGGAGAAAATTTAACAATTGGAGATGCAGAGGAGAAAGCAAGCATCACCTGCCCACCAGCCAGACACTGCTGTCCCCCTTCCAGCTCATTGCATGTTTGTTGTCAGGCTGAACGAGAGACGCAAAGGCAGTTGGAGCTGCAGATGCCCTGGTACCAGGCAGTGTGTGATAGGGCTCAGCTGCCTGCTCTGGCTCCTTGCGGAGCTACTTTGCCACCGCAACAGAGGGAGGATTCTTTTGGCAGAAACCGGGGACTCTCAGCCCTGGGTGCGCTGACCACGCTCCCCACTGGTCAGGATGGACAGCCTGCTGGAGGGGGGGTCTTAAAGGAGCAGACAGGTCTGCACTGGGTCTGGATCGCCCAGACTCACCTTCACATTCTTCGAATATTCTGAGTGAAGGACTAGTGCCTATTCAATTTACACACAGCAAATATGACCAGGTAGTCATTTTCCCAGTAATAATAAATGATGTGTTTTCTATGGTTTCCAGCTTTAAAACCCTTTGTGGTTGGAGAGAGAAAGTCAATAGTCGCCTTGTCTGTCTTATTTGAATATTTTGCAACGTCTGCGCGAGTGGGTGTAGAAGGTGGACGCTCAGTTCACTAGCTGATCACTTTCCCCGGCATGTGTGGTTTAGTTTAGGCTGCCGTGGCCAAGTGGCCCAGGAAGAAG